AATACAAATGAACTCAGAAATCCTCAAGGTAACAAATCCACGATGGAGGAACAAGTCCTCAAACGAAACAGGGAACATGTGACATAAATGCCTTAGAAGTATTTTTCATTGTTAGTTCATGCTAACTAATGTACTATAGTTAACTAATGTTAACAAATGGAACCTTAATGTAAAGTGTTGTAAACTAATATTTTATTTCAAATAAATTCAGTGATTTCCGAAGAATCCTGAAAAATGCATCCCGGTTTCCAAAAATATATTAAGCAATCACTGCTTGCTGTGATTAAACTTTGGTCCTAAACTGTATTTTACAGTAGCAGCTATCATTTGAATAGAGATTTGCCATATAAATTTGCTGTTTGCTTATCTATATAACTATTAAAATGTCTAAGGATTTAATCAAATTAATTAATGTGTGATATTTCGCACACTGATATTAATCAGAAATGTTTCTAGAGCAGCAAATCAGCATATTAGATGATTTCTGAAGGATCATGTGACACTGAAGACTGGAGTAACGATGCTGAAAATTCAGCTTCGATCGTAGGAATAAATTACATTTTAAAGTATATTAAAATAGGAAATGGTTATTTTAAATTGAAATAATATTTAACAATATTTATGTTTTACTGGATTTTTAATCAAGTAAGTGCAGTCTTGGAGAGCATAAGAGACGTCTTTCTGAAACATTCAAAAATCTTACCGACCATGAACGAGCTGGTGACGCCAAAACATTGAGTCTGTTTCAGAAGATTCTAGTGATTTAATGTTCTCTTGTCACTATTATTGTCATCCTTCAGTGTTTCCAGCTAGACTCCCCTGATTCCTTCCTAAGGCCATTAGCACTAGCGCTCAGAGTCTGAGCTATGTTTTACCCTTGAAGCGGTGCTGCATAATTCTCTGGGGATTGATAGGCAGAATATCAACAGCAGGAGAATAGAGCACCTTATGCTTTCTGATAACATGCTTATGCTTTCTGGTGCGCTCCAGATGCTTTAACCTTTTAAGACAAAGTTCTCAACGAAAACAAATATTTCAGAAATTAGGGCATAAAAGTAAGAAATGGCTCACACATTCGACCCTTCTTCCTAAAACAAAAACACGAAAGTCGTGGCCACATGGAATTTATATTATGTGCTTTCGGGGGGAATGTCAGTGGAATTAATTGATTTGCTCGTGTTTGTCAGGAAAGAGCAAGTGCCTGACTCCAGCTTGTGTTATTAAAGCTAATACCTCAGCACTTTACCGCTGTGAATCAAGCTCTGACGTGTTCTTATGATGTATGGATTTTATTATTCAAAGTGTTGTTTGCGGGTCTAGGATCCTGGTCCCCGGAGACCAGCTGTGTTTTCAGAGTAAAGAGCACTTAGAGAATGGCCCGGAGCGGCTGCGTGCCAGAGTGCCTCTGGACACAAGCTACTGTCCAGACCTGAGGAAACATCTGCAGATGGACTTCACAGTGTGGATTGTTTAGATGAAATCACTGTCTCCAATGGATCTCTGTATTTTGATAGGCCATACAAATCGGTCATACATTTACATAGCAGTGCACAGGGTGTTTCAGAAGACACAGGAGAATAATTTTCTAATAATTCTGAAAAAAAAGTAATATATATTAACTGGGAGAACATTAAAAGAAAAACCTTAGCAAAATAAATCAATACATTTACATTTACATTACATTTAGACATTTAGCAGATGCTTTTATCCAAAGCGACAATCAAAATCAACAAAAGAGCAATGATATGCAAGTGCTATAATAAGTCTCAGTTAGCTTAATGCAGTACACGTAGCAAGGTCTTTTTTAAATCATATAATTTAATATAATAACAAAAAAAAAAAGTTAAACTTTCTTGGTTTGTTAAGGCAGACTAAAGGGTGCTTTTTAACACCTCTCTCCAATCACGGAATCTGGGTCAAAGAATGTCCTTTTTGACTCATTTCGTTCTCTCTGGCCCTGATAGGGTGTGAGGAATGGTATCATTAAGGTAATGTTCTTGAGAGGGCATTTAGCTGAACTGTGCTGTCCCTCTGCAGTCTCAGCCCAATCTGCAGTGACCTTTGCAGCACAATACATCAGCAGTGAATATGCAAACACATCCTGAACCAAATGACTCTCCACAAAGTCAAAAAAGACCTCATGTTTACAAGCACAGCCTCTTCCTGCAGTGGTGTTCATTAACAAAATTGTTTCTTAGCATGTTCTGCATTCTGTTCAGCTTGGAAAGTTAAAATTTTCAACTTCGTACTTCTTTGTGCTGAAGAATGACAAAAGCAGAGATTTATCATCTATACCCCCAACTATGAACATATTTGGCCAACTTTTTTTCCACTCATTTTTTTTTTCTTATTGTTTTATTTTATTTTTTCATTTCATTGTATTCCATTTTTATGTTTTAGTTTATTTACAGCTAAATAAAAATAATAATAAAAAATAAGCTAAATAAAGCACATGATAAAATGACTTTTTTTAAAGCTTTTTATATATACACTTTAAATTTACTAAAAGTATGAAATAAAATAAATTAAAGCTAAATAGAAATATTAAAAAGCAAATAAATAAAAATAAAGCTATAATACAATAACAATAACATTTTTAATAATGTTAGATATAATTATATATATATATATATATTGTATTAATATATATATATATATATATATCATGACTTGACTGTCTTAAGTTGAAGTATTAATAAAAAATATTAAAAAAATTAAAATATATAAAAAACACAAAAATAAAGCTGATTAAAGCACATAACAAAATGACATATTTATATTTATTTACATATAATTATTTTTATTTTATTTTACTTTATTTTAATTTAGCTGATCATGACACTGTAGAAGAAGATCTCATGTAACCTGACCAAACATGGGCAAGTCAGTGAGTCCACCCTCAGTCCTGCTGCGAGGGTCAATAGCACACAGTTCATACTTTTATTTCCACATTTCTCTCCATTTTATTGATTCATGTTTTCTTTTGGAGCGAGACGGTACTTTTATTGCTTTGGCTTTTGTGATGTGTTTTTGTTTTGACTGAAGAGTGCGGAGCGCGCTCATATATCATGCACTTCTGCACAGTTTGGCCTCGCTAGCCTGTGGTGTTCGTCAGTAATTAGACCAAAGTCACGGAGGTGGCCAAGTTCAACCTCTTCATTAAGGATCACTCTCCTCATGGCAACAGCTGTCAATGGAGAGACTATCGTTCAGAAGTGCTGGGTGGAAATGTGAAATAAATGTACAGTGAGAGACCTCACTGAAAGTCGGTTCAGAATCTAATACAGAGCTGGACATTTTAAACAAATAAACATTATGAAGTAAATAGATTTGAATTACAAAGACATTCTAAATTTTATAGACATTTTTCAAATTTTCATTCATATCCTTTGATAATAATATAGCAATAAACATATTTGAATGACATCTCAAAAATGCAAAATAGAATAATTTAATTTTTTATATAGTAGGATAATTTTTCAACTCTGCTAATTTTTTTTTACACTCTCAAAAGTTAACTTATCCACAGTGCACAACAGTGGACACATGCACATTATTTTATTTTACTTTATTTTATTTTTTTATTTGATGTTATTTTATTTTTAATTCTCAACACATCTCAAATGATGTATTGTGTTTAATAGCATTCTGTAAAAGAAACTACATTTAAAAATGTTTTTTTAATGAAATGCCCAGCCCTTTTTATCTTGTCTATCTGTGCTTGTTTGATTGCTGGTTCTTTATGTATTTTAAAATACACACAATTATATAATAATATTTTTGCATAATTTGACAAAATAACAGCTGGATTGGAAATTATGCTCAATAAAATAAACATTTATTTATTTGAAAATATATTTAATATTTAATATATATATATATAGCCACACGTCACTTCACTTCATATATACAGTATATATATATATATATATATATATATATATGAAAAATATATTTATTTACTTGAATTTTTGTTTATTTACCTTTATATTTTTTCCCCCTCATATCTCAAGGAGTCATGCTGAAATGACTCATTGATTGATTGTTCGTGGTGAAAATGATGCCACAACTTCATATTTTTATGATGGATTTTCATAGTTTAAGATGGATAGTCTGGATCTGGGACAAGGGTAAAACAAGTCTATACATACATAAGGTCTTTGAAAAATAGCAAAAAGGAATAATGTGGGCATGATAAAGTAATTTCTTCATATATAAATCTGTTAGTTTTAATAAAAGAGCCCTGGGACCCAAAGTAAAAAAGAAAAAAACACCAGTAAGTGTTTTGTTGGAATCAGCACAGCGCATGATTAATGCGTTTGGCCACAGGGAGAGCTGATGATGTCACGTCTGAGGGCGGGTCCTCCGTGTGTCAGTTCGCAGTGTGCATCCAGGTTTAGTGCAGGTGTGTGTGAGAGCACTTCGACATGGTGGCCGTCTCTCCCCCACTCTCAGGGACCCGGGCAGAGCTTTCCCAACAGATCTTTATTTACAGCACAGGAGTCGGAAATGGCTGGTCAATCCATTTAGCCTAAGGCCACTGATTTGTTCGTATTTACTGCAACACCCAAAGAAAAGCCTAGGTATTTTTCCCTCTCTCCTTCCTATTGATTCGGCTCTTAGAAAATCTGCTCTGCTGTCTAAACACTATTGATCCCCCTGCTCTCCTCGCCAGCTCTTGCACCAGTGTATAAAGGGACTGGATGAATTGAAATTTCATTTCCGACAACTTGTTCCTTTTATTTTTTGCCTTTTTTTCCAACTGAGAAGCAAGACTCAGAGCGTCGCTCAGCATGGGTCAATAGCGGCATGAAGGCTGAAGGTAAAGGTCAGATGAGGTGAACTGTTCTAGTGTTAGCTGAGGGTCTGTACTGTATGTGGCACAAAACTGTACGGTGCCTTTGAATTGGCCAAAATGAGGTATCATAGAATCCATTTCCTTTGCTTTTTAAACATTTGTATGACTCATAATGTGTGTGTGTGTGTGTGTGGAACTACAGGATTGGTGTTGGCTCCGGAGGGCACGGGAGGAGCTGAAAGCAAGAGAGGAGGAGTGGAAGAAAGAGAGATCCTTCTTTCAAGAGCAGCTCAATGGCGTCAGAGAGGAGCTCCACCGCGCCAACCTCAGGGTACCGCCAACTAAATCTTTCTTCCCATTAGCCTGAGATGTAATGGATCGTTTTCACATTTCTCAGAAGCAGAAGTTGTCTAAACTACTATAGAAGTTGGGTAAACTACTATAGTGGCAAACGGAAATTATAACGAATATAATGGTTGTGTTGCCATTTGCTCCAGTTGCAAAAGACAAAATCCACCATAGTGTTTCAAAATATTGAGAGATTGATTACATTGGTCAGAAGAGAAAAATATGTCGAATTCGCCTCATCCAACGAATGAACACACAGACCTTGTGTTCATTCGTTGCCTACACAACATTCAATCTACATTGCATATTCACCCTGCTGCTGAGATTATAATAAGACGTGTTAATTGTTTCCTGCCATTGACGAAATTTTCCAGCAATCGCTGTTTTCACTGTTATATGGTAGGGGGCGCTGTTACAGACCTTCTGAAATAGTACAGCATCTCCAGATCCAAAAACACGCAAAGAAGAAAATCTGTGTAATCCAATAGGAGTAGATAGAAGTTGTTCATGCACAAGTAAGCTAACATCATCACCAACCATTCAACACCATTTAGTGTTTTTTTTTTTATAGAATTTACCCACATTCAAGTGTTGAAGCTAGAATGAAATGTTTTGTTTGTTTGTTTTTTTTGTATAATAACAGAAGCTTTGTTCTTTCTTTTGAAGTATTCACTGTTTACATATTCTCACTACAAAATATTCTGGGAGTCATGAAATATTGAAGAATATTATTAATATCCAATAAGCAGCCGTTGACTGTAAACTTAAAAATTATACTCTGGCGGGAAAATAGTTAAGAAAAATGTTGACACTTTTTTTGTTGTTTGTTTGTTTTGTTTGTTTGTTTAGTAATATAATACATCATTTAATTTGAGGTTTGGTCATGGTTTAATTTAATTCATTCTTTATTGCAATTTAAATTTATGCTACGTTAAAAAATATGCTGAAGACACAAGTGGAATGGAATATTGTGGAATGTAAGTGGAATATTGACAACAGATTGACCAGATTTTACATTCACAACCACAAGAATTATATTTTGGATAAGACTGCATAAAGACGTTGTGTTAGAAACACTCAAGCAACAGCGCTAATTAGTTTTCTGTAAATTAATGCCAAGGTTATATAACACAAATTATAGTGTTATAAATATACATTAATTTTTTAATAATGAAAATATAAAAAAGTAGCTAGATTTACGAGGTTAATAACTGTGGAAAAGTATCATCACAGTCTGTGAAAAGAGTCCACGCTGCTCAAAAGGGGGAGGCCCTGTTTTAATGATCATAAATATTCATATAACGACCACGAGCCCATCCCACATTCCATTTGCTGCTCTTAATGTTGATGCATATTTTAATAGATTATTATTACTGCCATCATAACTCTTATTATGGTAAATTACCAGATTTACAGCAGAATTATTATTTTCGTCCCCTGCAGCCATTTTGCTCAGCAAACCCAATTTTTTCCAACGTAGTAAACAAGCTGCTTCTTAGTCTGCGACCCCCTCCCAAAACATCAAACCGTTGATAAAGATAAACACACAAACCAGCTACGTCCGTGCTTGTACAACTCTCCATCTGAATTGCATATCCGCCCTGCTGCTGAGATTGTCATAAGCCGTATTAAGAAAAATGGTCACACGGTTTGACACAAATTGGAAAATGGCATTTGGAAAGCGCCGCTGCGGTGGAAATTAGAGATATTAAAATTATAAATCAATGTCTGGGTAGAAGGGACAAACGGGGGTGGGGGTTAAAAGTCCCCTCATGACTAGGCCCCGTTCGGGCTAATCTAAACCCTCCGGGCTTTGATTGTTCATCCACTGTCCACTCATAAAGAAAGGAAGGGAGGATATTGTGTCTTTTCTATGGAGTCAAGTCAGCTTATTTAGCGGCTCCCACACCACAACCTGCTAATGGATCATCTCAAAGGTGCGATATGCATTATGCAAAGGCATCCGCTTGACACTTTTAATGAAGACTTTCCTCTCTGTGCATCTCACCTTCAGTTGCCTTTGTTCATGTGTGTGTGTAGGAAGAAGAGCATCGGCTGAAAGTGCTGCAGATTGATGAACTCCAAAGAGAGGTTGACAAGACACTGGCACTGCTTGAAAAGGAGAGAGAGGTCAGCAAAACCCTACTTAATAGCCTCCTGTACACGCACTTTTACATATGGCGTGCGAAAACGTAAGGATGTACCCCCGGTTTTATTTCTTTTTAAAAGTAAAAGGCTCCCTGATGGTTGGGCCTGCTGGGTCTCTGAAATCCTTGACACGTCTAACCCTTATTCGTCTCAAGACTCTCGCTGTACTCTTGATAGTGCTCAGAGCACAGCAGTGTGTTATACACAGCACAATAAAATAGAACAGTTCGCCACTTTTACACGTTGCTATTATTCTCATTCTCTACTTCAGCTCTCCTGAGCTCTGAACATCTGCTGCTTTCCGTGATGAACCTTTCATTTTAAGTGCCACAGCATTGGTAAAGTTAATGCACAGGTTAAGAGGAAGCTCAGGGATCATACTAAGTAGTACGGTTTCTCAGCTTTATCTCCACACTAGGGTTGGGTACCGAAACCCGGTACCAATATGGCACCGGTACCCATGTAACCGGTATGTACTAGAACCGAATCAGAACGCAGATTTCGGTGCCATGCCTGAGCGATCGATTGAAATATTTGTTCTCTGGTTATCTGCCTAAATCTAAACTTACCTTGTATTTACATTTCTAAACCTGTTGTCGAACAAATGAGAATATTATAACCTTTTTACTCCACAACACCAGTCAAATGCTTCCTTTTGTGATCTGATGTGGCTTCTTGTCACAGAATGGGGCAGAAAATATGTTCCATAGGCTACTTTAAAAAGAATACATCGATTAGCAATGGATTATAAATATACTTAATTATTATGAAAATACCAGATATGGCTTGAATAACACAGATGAACTATATTGTCGCAGTCGAGTGTTTATTGTCTTTGTTTTATCATTCAAAACGTTTATATGTTCTGTTTACTCAGTTACAGCTATAAGATGCCTTTATCCATATAAGGGATTTCCTGGAGGGTCATGAGTTCGCTACTTCTGTGACTGGATATGTGGATTTTCTGTGCGAGGGCGCCCTCTGGCATCCTGTATGAATGAAACAGACATCATGTGTTTATAGTGCTAGTGGCCAATCCATTCTTTTTTGGGGAATTTTTATTTTTTTATCAGCTGTGACATAAATCTGCGTGTTTTTTTATATTTTTTTATATTTTATATTTTATATTTTTTGTTTACCTTTATAGAGGGCATTTTCCCACTAATCTCATTAATACTTTCATTTCAAATTCTTACATTTGGTCTATAAATTCAATTATAATAATGTGATTATCTATACGTTATCAAATTAAATCATTTACACTGAAAAATACAACTGCATTAAATAATATTATGAGATTATTTTAAATATTTTGAATATACAAACAAGAAATGATGGTGGAAATTATACTTTTCAACGAAATTAAAACGCCAGTATGGTGCCAGTAGTGAGCGTTTAATGAGTGAGTCATTGAGTCATTCATTCAAACGATTTGTTCAAACGGCAGATTCATCAGATGTTTATGCATGGGTTAATGAAACTTTGACTCAACCGATTCGATCAAAACACGGAATCAATCAGCAATGAATCGGCTGGTTTCTGTGAGATGCGCTGTTTCCGCCTAAAATGTAAGTGATCTAATATTATTGTATTTGCTTATTGAACTGTTTATAGAACTATTAAACAGTCGTAATAGATCGGATAATAAAATCAGAATAATACTTGCGTTTTGGTGTTTGCATAGTTATTTTTGGTTACTGATGTTTTAATCATGTTACTTGTCTGGCATTAATGAAGCGTTAATGTCGAGCCCTGGAGTCTATATGCCGGGGCTCAGCCCCGGACGGCCCCGGCCCAATTTAAACCCTGATTCTAGGTGTACCGTAGTGATTCAGGACAAGCCAAAAACACGGTTTGGAAAATAGATTCATGGTGTACTCGCTTATTATATACATTTTGTACATTTTGAACACAAAAAAGTTACAGACTGCAGCTTTAATATCCTAACGATTTTTGGCATAAAAGAAAAATCGATAATTTTGACCCATACAATGTTTTTTTGGCTATTGCTACAAATATCCCCCAGTGACTTTTAGTCCAGGGTCACATATTAGCAGTGCTGGGTAGATTACTTACAAATTGTAGTCTGTTACTGATTAGAAATTACACGACGGAAATTATAATTGTAATCTATTGGATTACACATATTAGGTAATGTATGACTACTTTTTTGATTACTTTTAAATTATTTTTGACTCAAAATATATTCTATTCCTTGTTATCAACATTGTGAAGTGTATTAAACATTACATTAGGCCAGGGTTTCCCAAACTGGGGTTCATGAATGAATTAAAGGGGGTTTGTGAGTTGATGAAATTCTGGAAGATTTTCCAAATAGCGGTAGAATTTTAGAAAGTAAAGTTTAAGAGAAAAAAATGAGGGCAAATCAAATTATGAATAATTTGCTGCAATTGTGTGAATAATAAGTAATCATGGAATCTGTAAAAAAGTAACTAATCTGATTATGAGCATTTAAGAAGTAATATAATCTAATTACAAGTACTTAATTTTTGGAATCTGATTACATAATCCAGATTACATGTAATGTTACCACCCAGCACTGCATATTAGTACCTTGAAGGTATGTATTAGTACTTTAAAATTGCATATTAGTACCTAAAGTCTACATTTAACAGTTTTGTACCATTTTTTCTGAGAGTGTAGATTGAGTTTTATGGTTTGAGTATTCTGAGCACAGTGTCAAGCACCTGCTGAAAAGCTTTCATTCTCCATTTGCTTCCAGTAATGTCTAGAATCTCGGTTCTGAATTTCTCTCATAGTCAAATTAAGGAGAAAAAAGATAAAATTATGATTATTTGCTCAATTATATAATGCTGATGTTTGGGCATGGTTTAATTGTATTCATTTTTTATTAAATTTAGAAATTATGATACTATGCTGAGGACACAAATGTAAATGTAGGGACATTGTTTGCATTGTTGTGAAATATTGACAACAAATAATACAGCAGATTTTCCCTTCACAACCAAATTCATTGGGCAATTATAATCAATTATTAAATTCTGCAATTATTATAATTATGCATTTCAATGAACATCCCAAATTGGGATGCTTCTTTATTTAATTTACACAATTAAGTATTGATATTTATTTTTGAGTATTTCATACTCAATTGTCATACAGTCTGTTTGCTACAATCAACCCGTACAAAACTAAGAACATTTGTTTATGGTAGCTTTCTATTATGTTGTGTTTTGTTAAAGTTACAGTTTGCTATGTAGCCTAGATAAAGACAGCCTTCTGTTTTGTCATGTTTTATTGCTTCATTATATATCTTAGTTTTGGGTTTATATTCTTAGTTAGCTGTTAAACTAAACATCACAGCACTTCTAAGTTTTACAAAACATGCCAAGAAAATAAGGGGAAGTGTGTGTATCATTGCTTATGATTAATGCTTAAACATTGCATGAGACCTTGCGTGTGTTTTCCACTACAAAATATTAAGAAAAATAGAGTATATCAGTCAATGCACACAATATAACAAAAAAACATTGTTGAATTCTCCTGTAGTTTACCTATGGAGGAAAGATCAGGTAGAGCATCTTCTCTAGGACACTCTGAAGGACTGTGCATTTCCTTTATGTTCTTTTCATGTTGTTCTTACATTCATTCCACATCACCTCTCTGTTCTCTTTATCTCTCCCTTTGTCTTGTTATAGGATTGTGTAAAGGCCAAGGAGCTGGAACGACTGGGAGAAGAGCAACTCAAGGACAAGGTCTCTCAACAATCCACTGCCTATTAGCTTCTAAGCAATGTCTTCCTCGCTGCAGTTAAGTGCCAGTCATAACCTTGTCATAGTTTGAATTAGAGATGCAGCCGCACGTGTTAGACACTTAACACCGAGACCCCACGCGCACGCCTACACAGTCGCCAGTGATCAAAACAACATCTAATATTATGACTGGCCCTAAAATAAAATCTAATATTAATATGCTGCAGAGGCCAGATCTCAGCATCAGGAGGTACAGCTTTTGCCAGTTACCACTCAGCAGGCCACTAATGAAAAGCTGCAAAACGACATGTTTTCTAAATCGACTAGTCAAAAGGGTCCCTCTTCCTAAAATATAAAGGAAACTATATATTTTAATTTATACTGTGTATATGACTATCTATATAAATATATATATATATATATATATATATATATATATAGAGTGGGGACGGAAAGTATTCAGCCCCCCTTAAATTTTTCACTCTTTGTTATATTGCAGCCATTTGTTTTTGTTTTACTGCTGTTAGATATACAGACCCAAAAAGCAACATAAAACCATGGCTGTCAATATAATGAAATAAGTATGGTTAATCATATGATTTCTTTAGTAAGTATGTTAGTTTAGTATGTACTTTAGTTTAACTTTTACTTAAA